ATATTAAAATATTTTAAATTTAAAATATTTAAAATATTTAAAATTTAAAAACAATATAATATAATATAATACATAATGTAGGAAAAAAGTAGCTTAATTATATTTATATAAAATAATTTTATAATATATATATACATATAAATAAATATGCTACTTTTCCTACATTATGTATTATATTATATTATATTATAAACACATTTCTGTACTGCAACAGAAAATAGTAGGAAATATTTCAGTGGTACTTGATACGTCACTACTTTCATCAGCCACTTTGACTTTTCGTTGTAAATATAAATATCTCTTATGTCATAAATAAATAAATACAAAAACAAGAGGACAGTGATGTAGAATTATGGTTAAGGATGCAACCTGAAATGTTAAAGTGCCCCTATTATGGGTAATGAAAGGTTCATATTTCTGAACTATTTTTAGAGTTTTTATTTAAAAAGTACAAATAGAATGTGAAATAGTATGCCGTATGCAATGATACACATTTCAAAGTGTGCTGCATCTTTTAATTTAGCAACATTAGCATACTGTACACTGCATATTTATTAAAAGTAGCATGTGAAATATGCAGTATGCAAGGATATGCATTAAAGTATGCTACTCTTATTTTAGAAATACTAGCAACTGTACATGGCATACTGCATACTATTTCTTAAAAGTAGCATGTGAAATATTGCAGTGCTAAACATTTCAAACACTGAATTAGTAATCCTAGCATAATGTACACAGCATACTATTAAAATAGTATGTGAAATAGTATGCAGTATACAATTATCAGTGGTGGACAGGTTGACATGCATGCAAGGTCAAAAAACCCTTTCATCGTCTTATAATTTGCATTTATTTTTACCTTACTTGGCTCAAGGACTCCAAACGATTTGCTCAACGATTGATTTTTCCAAACCCCTCCTTTGCTTAACGCTAAACTGCTGTGATTGGTCTGATTGGTCTCAGTTTCATTTCATAACGCCTGTAATGCCTGATAAAGCAGCGTTTGTGAGCACAGTGCTGCTTTGTGTACAGCGTTACTGGGGAAACCGCTATTTTTACCACTCCAAAAGCGGTAACCTAGTGGCAAAGAATGAATTAGCATTTTCATTCAGACCAACACGACAAGACCAACAAGTTGACGTCAACATGAAACTTGCTTGGGATTCGTTTTAAAAACGACTCATTTCAATGATTCAGAGTCGACTCTTTCTTTTGAGAGACAATAACTTTATACACGGTGCACTTTCATATTTAATAGTTTGCAGGATGTTTTCATTCACTTAGAGCTGTGTTACATGCTGCATGAAAGGTAATTTTCAAAATTCCATAATAGGGGCACTTTAAAAAAGCTTTTAAAGACCATTAATTGTCGCAGACATCATGCATCAGAGGGTTAAATATTTGTATAATACATATTAATAAATACTTTTTTTGTATTATTTTGAGCTGGAACTGTTTGTTCAACAATCTGTTTCTTTGTCTTTTCTATCTTAGCAAGGATTTGGGAACATCGATGGTGAATACTGGCTTGGTTTGGAGAACATCTACTGGCTGACCAATCAGGGCAACTATAAGCTGCTGGTGACGCTGGAGGACTGGTCAGGCAGGAAGACGTTCGCAGAATACGCCAGTTTCCGGTTGGAGCCGGAGGCGGATTTCTACAGGCTGCGGGTGGGTCGTTACCATGGCAACGCTGGGGATTCGCTCACCTGGCACAATGGGAAACAGTTCACCACCCTGGACAGAGATCACGACGTGTACACAGGTATCAAACCAGCACTGATCGAGCATCACAACCAACTGCTTTACACAGGGTCACGGTCCAATAAGGGCTTTAAAATGTGCAGGTTCTAAAACCCAGAAATTAGCTCGCATTATTGAACTTCCGACTCCATCCCAAAATCAGTGCTTTTTTTGTTTTTTATTAAATAAGGTCTGTGGTTAACACAAGCTCAAAATATTTTCACGGTTTATTCTACAACATAAAATACATCAGTAACAGGGTTATTATACAATATATTAAAATAAATAAATAAATAAAAAGTTGTAAACTTAAAAAAAAAAGTATCTGTGCTGCTTATAAACTTAAAGTTTAGTCAACTCAAATATCCAAGTTGTCACTTAGTACAACTTACCATTTCAAGTTGACTAAAATGTCAATTTTAAGGCAGGATTTAAAAAAAAAATTGTAACAGTGTAGTTAACTTAAATTAAAATTGAACATTTTATTAAAAACATTACATTTTTTTACTTGAAATAAAATAAATGTTAAATGAAACAAAAAAAATGAAACTATATATACAGTATATCTATTAGAAATGGCAAAAACACACAGAGACTAAAACTTTACAAAGAAAAATGAAAATGGAAAATCTCAAATAAGTACTGATGGAAAATATTAATGAAAACTATAACAGCATCTGATCAGTAACACCGCACTTGTGTTTTTTTTAAGCTTTTGGTGTCTTAAAAAAGGCAGTTCCTAACAAATGGCTAAATGACACTATACAGAGTTTGTGTTTATTACGATTATATTTACCGTAGGCTTCAAAATTCATAAAGTTGTGTTCATTTGTGAGGATTATCTTGAGCAAAACGTGCATGAATCAAACTTTTGTTGGTCACAGACCTTATTTTCTGCATTATTCCAAAAGCCAATGAAAACCTCCTTTATGGTTTTCGTCGAGGGAACTACTCTGGGGGGAAAAAAATTATAATTAAAAGATAATTGAAAAAAAAAAGTGGTGCAGAAACAATTTTTACTCAGTAATTGCAAGTAAATTTCACAAAGAAACGGCAAGCAAAATTGAATTAAAAGTGAAATTTTAAAGTAGAAAGACAAATATTATTTTCTTGTAAAATGTACTCCAATAAATTGACAATTTTTACAGTGTAACACAGGGGTCACCAAACTTGGTCCTGGAGGGCCGGTGTCCTGCAGAGTTTAGATCCAACTTTCCTCAACACACCTGCCTGGAAGTTTCAAGCATACCTAGTGAGACCTTGATTAGCTGGACTGAGTCTGGTGACCCCTGGTGTAGCAGATAATTTAATACAATGCAGGGTGATGTTAAATTTTTTGTTGCCCTACAAAAATACATCACTGCAGTGCTCTAAATAGAATCAATGTGTAATGAGTTCACAAACTCAAAAACCTAATTTCCTCTCATACAGGAAACTGTGCCCACTATCAGAAGGGTGGTTGGTGGTACAACGCCTGTGCCCACTCCAACCTGAACGGCGTGTGGTACCGCGGTGGCCATTACCGCAGCCGCTACCAGGATGGAGTTTACTGGGCCGAGTTCCGCGGAGGATCGTATTCTTTGAAGAAGGTCACTATGATGATCCGACCGAATCCCAACACTTTCCATTAGAACGTCATGTGAAGGAAAACGCAAGTCTAATGCGTCATAACTCAGAAAACGTTGTAAAAAGTGCAATGTTTTTTTTTATTTTGGTTAATTATTGATTTTTTACTTTGTTTTTGAGTCTTATGAATTCATAATATGCAGTCACACATATCCAAAACCAAATATATGAAAGTGCAATGACTTCATGAAGGAGACATAACTCATATCTTCTCGGGATTCTTCCCAATGGTGTCCAGGACACTGAAGACCAAGTGAAAATACTAGAAAAACTTCAGTCAGACAAACCTGGCAACTCAGGTTCCACATGACCTGGAAGCTGAACAGCATCGAGTGCGTCCTTACAAGTGTGCTTAAAATGGGGATCGAGTCTGATCTTAACAGGCATCCGGTCACCTTATTCTCACTGTAAGAAGTCTAACCTTGAAGAACTGTTATTCGGAGTACTTTAGTGCTATAAAACATGACCTGTTATGTACCAACGGAGGCATTTGAACATATAGATTCTCATTTGATCTGTTTATAGCATTGAATTCCAATACAGTGTACACTGCAATTGGACATCTTAAAGATATTTCTAATGCAAAAATGAAAATTCTGTTGTCGTTTAGAGGTAAATTGAGCCTAGTCGTTGCTAATGCATCTGTTTAATAGATAGTGTTAATGAGATGTGAACTGGTTAAATGAACACATTTAATCACAGATGCAAAGCCTCTGAAAACTTCAGTGGCTAGACTACATTTAGTAGCACAAATGCAATACTTCCTTTTCATTTAGTTTGTTGTAGCATTGACTTCCAATAAAGGGTACATTGCAATTGTGCCTTGAAGTGGACTACATAGGATACATTTCTGTCAACATTTAGAGGTACATCTAGTCTGTTTATGCATCTATTTGTAATTTTAAAAGACATGAATCAGTTAAATGAACCACAAATATGAGGCCTCTGCAAAAGTCACAAATGCAAAACATGTCTGTCTTGTATATTATTGTCTACATGACTGTTTTAGTGTAACATTGCGTTCAGCATTCATATGTCCATGAATGATTTCACTCTGGTCCTTTAGACTGAGTGCTCTTTTGAAACCATTTGTATATAGAAAATATGAGTGAGTGTTTTTGTAATGCAAAGTATGGTTGTGTACTTACAGAATTTTCCAATAAATGATGTACAGCTACTATGTTGTAGAGACAAGCTCTTCTGTGATCAACTGCGAAAAACATACACATGTCTTGCCCTATAGACTACAATGCATTAGAAACACGGAAGACCGATAGAAAGGTTGAGCTCAAACCTTAATGTTTTCACTTGTACAAGCAACTAAAGGCTCTAAAGGGCCCTACGGGAGACTCTAGGTATGTCCTGAGTGCAAGAGAACAGACCCAAACCTTTGCTGCTCAAACATTAATCATTATAAATGAAAAATGGTGTCATTAACATTAGCTTCCAAATGAGGAAAACCTTGTAAATGGATGGAAAATACATTAGCGTCAAGAATGAAATGAAATTGGCATTTGCAAGTCATTTTAATTCTGTAATGTAAAGCATTTCCAATTGAAAGAGGATATTGTTGAGGAAAAGTAGAATGGTGGAATTGATTTTATTAATCAGATATGAACTGAATTGTAAACTGTACAGGTGAACAGAGGGAAGTCCTTAGAATAACATGCATTGCTGAATCAAGATCAGGAACATGTTTTCAAAGAAAAGTCCACTTAAAAATGAACATTTGTTGAAAATGTCCACACCCTAAGGCCATCCAAGATGTAGATGAGTTTGTTTCTTCATCAGATTTGGAGAAATGTATAATTCCATCACTTGCTCAGCAATGGATGCTCTGCAGTGAATGGGTGCCGTCAGAATGAGAGTCCAAACAGCTGATAAAAACGTCACAATAATCCACAAGTAATCCACACCACTCCAGTCCATCAGTTAATGTCTTGTGAAGCCAAAAGCTGCGTGTTTGTAAGAAACAAATCCATCAAGATGTTTTTAACTTTAAACCATTGTTTCCATCTGAAATGATTCCTCTAGCCATAATATTGCTTTCTCCAGTGGAACAAGTGGTCTGGTCTGAATCAGGAGAGAAATCTGCACAGATCAAGAACCGTTTACAAGAAAAACAGTACAAAACAACTCTAAACAAATATGTGGGTGGATTTTAATGTGAGAGACAAAAGGAAATTGACTTTTTCACTGGAGGAAACGTTATTATGGATTATGGCTTTTGGCCAGAAGCAATGGTTTAAAGTTAAAATGTCTTAATGATGGATTTGCTTTTATACAAACTCGCAGCTTTTCACTTCTCAATGCATTAACTGATGGACTGGAGTGGTGTGGATTACTTGTGGATTATTGTGATGTTTTTATCAGCTGTTTGGACTCTCATTCTGACGGCACCCATTCACTGCAGAGGATCCATTGCTGAGCAAGAGATCCAATGCTACATTTCTCCAAATTTGATGAAGATCTTGGATGGCCTGAGGGTGAGTAAATTTTCAGCAAATTTTCATTTGAGTGAACTATTCCTTTAACAGACAAAATGAAAAAAAAAAACCAATATATAGTTTATTTTGTTCTGCATTATTGAACGTCAATCTGACCTACAGACATATTGCACACAGGAAGGAAATTTTTTTTTGTTTTAATGCTTTTATATGCCGGCCAATTATTACTGTATTTCAGATTAATGGCACATAAAAACCAAAACAGCGGTCTGTCACCTTAATATGTCAGGCAAACAATATTTGGCCAGAATAAGCTACAGGAAGGATAACACTATGTTTAGTTAATGGTTTGGATGCATGAAACTACCAAGTTCATGTCCAGACAACATGTGATCCCAGCAACCAAACTGCAAGAAAATGAGTACAGTCTATCCAAGAAATGCTTAGACAATCCCAAAGAAACAGCACCTGTAACATGTCTATAAATCAAACCCAGAGTACCTGATATGTATCCCTCCATCTTCACCCAGTTTGAGTTAAATCAGAACAGCAGCTGTAAATGACTAAGTGCTGAGGAATATGAGACATAGTTTCCCTGATCTTTGATATCCCTGTAACAGCACAGAGGGCTTGGAATCAATTTATTGTTGAGTCTCCAGACCTACTGAGAATCTGTGAGATAATAAGAACCGTACATCTGTGATCTCTGTCTGATAGAGTTCAGAGCACAAATAATGGGGTTCAATAAACATTAGAGTGAGAGAACATGGGAAAACACTGAAAAATGCCTGGCTAAAATAATAAAAAACAAACAAATCTGAATTGCATGTTTCATATTCAAACACAGAGTACTTTCAAGGAAGATATCATATTGAAAACACATGCAGCATGCATGCTATCATTAGAAACTCTGTAAGGTGACCAAAAATGCCATGATGTTCTCTAAAACAAATATGAGAAACCGCAAGGCTGAGAAAAACGGTGCTTGTAGATGTCCACACATTTCAGGAAAAGATACAATTAACTACCAACATTTGGCCCCACGAAACAGAACTAAATTCTCTATTCTTTCTTACATAAACTGCTGCGCTGAATTGAATGTGACATTTTACATCAGAATGTTTTCATGAATGATTTAGCTAGACACAAATCTGTTCAGATTGTGTTTCATGAATGAAGTTCAATGTGTTTATACATTTACACATATAATGAATCTCATCTGGACATTTGAACCATACTGAGATATTGTTCAAACGTCCAGATGAGATACATGACGTAGAAATATATACATATATAGACATATAAAGTCAATTTCATGCTTTTATGAATCTCTAAAAAAGAATCAGGCACTGATTAAACGTACCATAATACAATGATATACTATCAATATTTACACTACCGTTCAAAAGTTTTGCGAGAGTATTTTTTTAAAGAAATTAATACTTTTATTCCGCAAGGATGCATTCAATTTATAATATCACAAATATAATTCAAGTAAATGTTGTTCTTTTGAACTTTCTATCCCAAAAAATCCTTAAAAAAAAAGTTTTCTACAAAAATATGAAGCTGTACTGTTTTCAACATTGATAATAATCAGAAATGTTTCTTGAGCAGCAAATCAGCATATTATACTGATTTCTGAAGATCATGTGACACTGAAGACTGGAGTAATGATGCTGGAAATTCAGCTTTGACCACAGAAATAAATACAATTTTACAGTATATTCAAATAGGAAATGGTTATTTTAATTTCAAATAATATTTCAAAATATTACTGTTTTCAAAGTGTTTTTGATCAAATAAATGCAGCCTTGGTGAGCAGAAGAGACTTCCTAAAACATAAAAATATTTTAAACCCCAAACTATTAAACGGTAGTATTGTATATTTCGCTTGCCAAATACAAATGTGAATACATGGCTACTTCTGAATGGCCGACATTGGAGAAAGATTTGTAGAACCAGATGAGGTATTTACAGAATCTACCAACTCTGATCCCTTGGTCAGTCAGGAAATGTTCATTCGTCCCACTGGAAGGTGAAGTAAAGCCCGTTTGGAGAGAGAGACTGAAAGAGAGCAGACAGATGGGGACTCACCCAGGTAGGGGATGCACGGCACCATCTTGAGGGAGCGGATGTACTCTCTCATCCTGGCGCAGTTCTCCTCTTTGGAGGTCAGGTAGTCCAGCTTCTCAAACGTGGCCTTGTCCTTCCGGCTGATCAGCTGGAAAAAAAAAAAAACCCGGAAAGTTACAGCACTCTGTTAGCTTTTCACCTGAATACAGGCCGTGATGAGAAGCTACTTTAAAACCATAATTTAACAACATACAAGCTGCACAGAATTAAGTGCACAAGGAAATGCAACCGAATTCAACACCAATCATTCATCCTTTGCATGCTTCTGAAATATTTTGACTAATGATTGTTCTCGGCTGTCAATAAGAGTATAAAGCTCTGGTCAATTGGTCAATTCTGCAGACCATTTTACACAAAAATCAGCAGAGAAAATGTGAAGTCTGCAGATTCCATTCCATGCATTATTTTAATTATGCTGTAAAAATGATTTCTTAAATTTGTAAATGAAACAAATTGGACAGTTTTTTTACATTCTACTTCAAAATTCTTTGTTTAATTCAATGTTACTTGGCATTTCTTTTTAATTATCTGTGAAATGTAATAGCAATTTCTGAGTGAAAATTGTTTCAAAGTAAATCCGATAATTTTTTTTCCTCTCTCCATATATTCAATACATTTTCAGTGAACACTGACTTCTTTTTAGGGTCTATTTTGGAGCTTCATGCACATTTACATTGAAGTGGAAGTGAGTGGCTCAGGACTGCAGGTTACCAAAGATTGAACCCTCCTTTTCTGATAATAATCTGGGTACTTGGTTTGTGTAAGTGAATTGCAATTGGGTTTCATGCAATTCACCAAAAATCAACAAAGAAAAACACGAAAGCATCATGTAAAAACAACAACAACAACAAAAAACTCTATTGTAGGTTTACAGAGACTAAAAAATATATATATAAAACATGCAAGAAATGTCCTCATTATTTCTATTGTGTAATGGATAGAGATTTGACCCACATATTTTTTTTAATTCAAAATGAACTGCACAAACACAAAATAATTAAGTTTCATAAGCTGTCATGCAATTCATATTTTATGTCTGGCAAGCTACAATAAAAGGTTTTTTTTTTTTTTTTTTACCAGACCCTTTGTTGTTTTTCAAAGCGTTGATTTTTGGCAAATTGCTTGGAAACCAATGGAGGTCAATTTGACCTCTAACATAATTGATTTAAGCAAAATTTGTAGTCTTTCCAAAGCAAATTTGTGTTGAAACTTTACATGCACGTTCATGACCCTAAATGAGAAAGTCACAAAATACAAGAAGAACCGAATAGTTCAACCAGCATTTCAAGCAGTTTCAAAATCAAATGCAGAGTGAATAAGCACAGCTGGTGGATCATAAAGAGGGACCTTCTCAACGCGCTGAGCAATGCAAACAAACAGCTTTTAGCAGCCCGTCCCAAATGAATGAACAACCTGCGGAGGGAACGCATCAGACCAACTGTTTTCTGATGCTTCTTTTAGACGTCACAGCTGTTAGCGGTCATGCCCGGAGTTTGACCTGCGCTACACACTCTGAAAACACTCATGCATTTCATTTCTGGAGGATGAAGCCCTTAAGATGTGTAGTATAGTCAATCATTTGTATGGTGAATCTGGGTGAAACAGTCCTGAAGATAAAACTGCTATTCGATAACCATCTTGGTTCAAAGCTAAATGCTATGCAAGCATGTGAATGTAAAATATATCAGATTTCTCTCTTTTGGAGATCGTGACGAGTGATGATTATTAAATGACAGTGAAAACCTGTAATTTCTCCACTGTGCAAGTGCTACAATATCTAAAAGATCAGAGAAGAAAATGAAAACCAAACTATTGCAAAACATCCTTTTCCCAATAGGTTTAATAGTTTATACCGTACCTCTGCCCACCCAGCTTGTTTCAAAATACAACCAACAACTCCAAAGCCAAAGCGGCATATGGTGCAAAACTCAGGAGACACTCGCATCTCCATACATGCACCTCATTAATAACGACTCCGGCTGGTCACGTCATGAGCTCATGGAAGCCGCGATCTCATTGGTTTACGAGGCTCTGGGGGACAATGCTAAAGGCTTGTACATTTACAGTGGTAAATACCTCATGATGGGAAGAAATAGACACATTTGAAATTCCACTGACTAATGCAGAAAACTGTGGGCGAAACACAGAGCTGTGGAGCACTTGAGCTCAAGACTTTGACAAGGAAACATTAAGGAGCTAGTCAAGGTATTCAATCAAACAACAGCTGTATAAACACATATATTGAAAAAATGCTAACATATGCTAAAGGAGAAAGGTGTAATTTAACACAGAATTAATAATATTAATTATAAGTATACAATACTGTTCAAAAGTGTTTTTGAAAGATGTTTCTTGCACTCAGCAAGGCTGCATTTATTTGAACAAAAACACAGTAAGAATTGTGAAATATTATTATAATTTTAAAGGACTGTTTTCTGTGAGAATATGTTTTCAAATGTAATTCATTCCTGTGATCAAAGCTGAATTTTCAGCATCATTCCTCCAGTCTTCAGTATCACATGATCCTTCAGAAATCATTTTAATATGCTGATTTGCTGCTCCAGAAACATTTCTGATAATTATCAATGTTGAAAACAGTTGTGCTGCTTCATATTTTTGTGGAAACCATCAGGATTTCAGGATTCTTTGATGAACTGAATGCACACAAGAGACATCATTTATTTGAAAGAAATCTTTTGTGACATTATAAATGTCTTTAATGTCACTTTTGATCAATTCAATGCTTCCTTGCTGAATATAAATCAATCAATCTAACACATTTTTTGAATGGTAGTGTACAAACATGAAAAAGGCTTAAAGGGGTCCTATTATGCTTTTTCACTTTTTTAATTTTAGTCAGTGTGTAGTGTGTATGTTTGGACATTAAAAAGATCTAGAAAGTTACAAATCTCAAAGTCCACTCCACAGGGAGATATTTTGTTTTTTAAAAAATCCCTTTTCAAGAACTACAATGGACGGCTCGTTTGGACTACAGCGTTTGTTTTCCGGGCTTTGTTATATCATAAAGTGGCTCATTAGAATATCATTAAAAATAATTCCCGCCTACAGAAAGTCGAATAGTTGGGGGGTGGGGAGGGGCGAGGTCGTGGTTAGAATGCTTGGTTGAGTGAGTGCATCAGACGAGACGATGAAGAAGAAGAAGTGCTGCTGCAGAGTTAGTGCATCAGAGAACATTAAGAATTTTCGGCATTTCTAGAACAATTCTTAACACGACGTAGCTGGGCGCCGCGGACAGAGGCCGAACGGTGTGCCTACACTCATAGAAAATAATGTATTTTAATTTTAATGACGTGACGTGACGCTGCACTTCTCGTCCGGTGCGCGACCGCCTGAAACGCTGTTTTTTTCACCTCCGTGCCCAAATGTCTTTGTTTGGGCTTCCGAAAGCGGATGATGTCAGGAAACAGTGGTTGCAATTTATTTTTTAACTTCATTCCTGAGCATTATAATTCCAATTTGATATTGTGTGCTGCGCATTTTACTGAGGACAGCTTCCACAACATGAGGGAGTACAGTGCCGGATTCGCCAAAAAGCTTTTGTTGAAAGACGGAGCAAGGGGCAGTACTGAAACACCGTCTAAGCTGTTCGCCAATCACAACGCACTGGGACAGCTAATCTATCACAACACATTTTGTTTTTCGGAAGGCGGACCTTCATCAAAGCCGGAACTAATCGAGCCGTTTGTGCCAGGCTGGGGAGAAAGGTATTTTAATAATGTAAATTATGTGAAAAATAATGCGTTTCTCGAACCATCAAGCATGAGAGCATGTTCTAGTACACCCCCAAAACAAAATCAAGACTTTGTAAAAGAGCATAATGTAATGCAAAAAATGTGTACAAAAAGTGTCTTCGAAATGAATAAATTTAAGTGACTGAATTTTTTGTTTGAATTAAATTTTAGTGATGGTTTTTGATGCATGCAGATTAAATGGTCATGGCCGACCAGAGAAATGCAATTATTTTTTACTTGTTACTTGTTTTTAGACATCCAACTAGACTAGATAAAGGTGTGTGCTAAATGCATACATCTAAATGTAATAAAGCAACTTGCATGGCATTCAAGGTTTACATTTTATCAGTTCATGCATTCCCTGGGCTTTTACAGTTTGAGCTACAGGAACGCATCTTAACATTTTCAGAAGAATCAGAGTAAGGTTTGTTCTAATGACTAACAAATATGTATGACTGTGCAAAGTGTAAGTACTGCAATACAAAATAAAGTCTTCACTTGGTAGCTGGAAATGTCAATTACATGGATATACAAGGTGCACAGTGGGACTGGTGGAAAAAACTACTGTACAAGAGGAAATTTCCTTCAGTTCATGTTCAGACAGCGCAGACAGCCTGCTAATATATCACTCCACACTGACACAACCCTTTCCCAACATGTAAGCCGACAAATATCCTTTTAGAGGCTGCATAGGAGTATATATTTAGCTGCATTTTCTAAGCTAAATATAAACTAAGCTAGACCAAGCCGAGGACCAAAGATATAAAGACATACAGTAACTAAACTCACCCAGCATGGAAACATAGACTGACCCGATAAAGTGGAATATGGAATGCGATATAAAATCGGGACAGTCAGCATCTTGGTGTTATAGTTGGCAGCGGGATGAGAAGTGTAAGAAGAGACTGTGTCATGTTTCACGTTTGTGGTGAGCAGAAAATGTGATGGATGAATCTGCGGGATGCCGTATGATTTCCTCTGAGAATACGGATGGATTGCAATGGAAGAGGAAGCAGTCGAGATCTATAGGAAACACGGGGGTGTACACAAACACACACAAGGCCTCGCTGCTTGGAGTCACCAGATATGCTTACATGAACTGCGGCCATACTGGAAAAAGAGACAAATGATTTCAACACATGTAACCACAAACGAAAAGAACAGAAATGATGACAAATGATTTAATTCCTGATTTGGAACTTGGAACAACGTCATTTGCTATGAGAGCTGCAGTTACAACTAATTTTTTTTTATAAAGACAACGTAATAACAATAAACAACATGACCTAAGATATTTTAATATATTGAGCTATCATTATATTTAAGATTATTTCAC